ATCGCGCCATTGCACTCCAGCCTGGGTAACATGAGTGAAACTCCCTCAAAAAAAAAAAAAAAAGTATGTACACATTCTTTGACATTCTTTCCCACAAAACCTGGAATCTAACTCGCCTCCTCTTGTGTATGATCTGGACTTAGTGACTGGCTTCTAATGAGTTGCTGAAATGATGCTTACATGACTTCCAAGTCTGGATCATAAAAGTGACCTAGCTTATGCCTGGTTCTGGTTCTTCCCTCACCTGACACACAGACATGCACCTCTGGAAGCCTGAGCCACCATGGAAGGAGCTCAGAATCCCTGAACCCACCCTACAGAAGAGACCATGTGGAGAACCCACCTAGAAACAGATGCCCGAGAAGCCTCCAGCTCAAATATTCCCAGCCCAACAATCAGACAGGTGAGAGAGCAAAGCTCCAGATGATTCCAATCCCCAGTCTCTGAGCTGCCCCAGCCAACAATGAATGCAGTAGAAATGTGCCTTGTCTCCACAGCCCTGCCCAGACTGCACTCATGTGCAAAGTCAACATGAATGTTATCTTTTTTTAGACAGGAACTCACAATGTTGCTCAGGCTGATCTGAAACTCCTGGGCTCAAGCAATCCTCCTTCCTCTGCTTTCCAAAGCACTGGGATTATAGGCATGAGCTACCATGCCCAGCCTATCATCCTTTTAAGCCGCTACATTTTGAGGTGGTTTGTTAAACTGCCATAGCAATTGGAAGACCAACCATGTAAGGGCTGGCTTCACAGGTATGCGACCTGTGCATCCCAAGTCCCCCGCTCTCAGAGGGGCCCTGTGCTTAGGCTAACATTCTGTTGTCACCATCTTGAAACTCCATCATTTTTGCACCCAGCCCCGCAAATTATCAACCCGGTCCTGAGCCCTACCCCTGAATTACAATCACTCTCCACCTCGTGGTCCTATGCACCCTTCACATATGTAACTCTTCAGTGTGTTTAACGGACAGAAAACAGAGCTTTGAAACCAGCCAGACCTAGTTTCAAACCCATGCCCCACCACTGACTGTCCCTGTGACCTTGGGTAAATTAACTATTCTCACTAAACTTCAGTTATCTTATCTGCATACTGGAGATGATATTTACCTCACAGGGTTACAGTGAATATTAAATGGGCAATGAATCACTTCTTGCACAAACGAATATAGAAGCCTTTTAGTGTTATCTTGTCTCTAGTGTCTTCTCCACTTGAAGAACCCTCCATACCCACAACAAATAAATCCTCCTTTGCTAGAATTCTACTGCTCTAGAACATTTAATGGTTCCCTATTTCTATTAGCGTCCAGAATCTTCACCTGGGCATTCAAGGCCTTCCACAATCAGTTATCAAATTACTGTTGACTCATCTTCCAGTGCTGCATTATGATAGTGATAGCACTCTGCTTCAAAGGAAGGGGTTATTGGAGTCTCCTAAAATACTTTCCGCTTTCATTTTTCAGTGCTTTTGCCCAGCCTGTTCCATCCTAAATCTGGAATGTCCTGAGCCCTCCTGACAACCTTCACATTCGGTGGTAGTCCACCTCAAATATGCAAGTAATTGAGCTGAGTACAATGGCTCATGCCTGTAATCCCAGCACTTTGCAAGGCCAAGGCAAAAGGATTGCTTGAAGCCAGGAGTTTGAGACTAGCCTGAGTAGCAGAATGAGACTCCATCCCTACCAAAAAAATAAAATTGTTTTTTAATTAGACAGTATGGTGTCTCATATCTATGATCCCAGCTACTTGGGAGGCTGATGCAAGAGGTCACTTGAGCCCAGGGGTTCAAGCCTGCAGTGAGCTATAATTACACCACTGCACTCCAGCCTGCATGACAGCATGATGCCATCAAAAAAAAAAAAGAAAAAAGGCCAAGCGCAGTGGCTAACGCCTATAATCCCAGCACTTTAGGAGGCCAAGGTGGATGGATCACATGAGGTCAGGAGTTCCAGACCAGCCTGGCAAACATGGTGAAACCCATCTCTACTCAAAATACAAAAATTAGCCAGGCACAGTGGCACACACCTGTAATCCCAGCTACGTGGGAGGCTGAGGCACAAGAATTGCTTGAACCCAGGGGGTGGAGGTTGCAGTGAGCCAAGATTGTGCCACTACACTCCAACCTGGGTGACAGAGAAAGACTCTGTCTCAGAAAAAAAGTAAATGATGTGGACTTTCAGTATATTCTTTTTTTTTTTTTTTTTAGATATAATCTTACTCTGCTGCCCAGGCTGGAGTACAGTGGTGCAATCTTGGCTCACCATAACCTCCACCTCCTGAGTTCAAGTGATTTTCCTGGCTCAGCCTCCCGAGTAGCTGGGATTACAGGCATGCGCCACCATGCCCCACTAATTTTTGTATTTTTAGTAAAGATGGGGTTTTGCTATCTTGGCCAGGCTGGTCTTGAACTCCTGAGCTCAGGTGATCTGCCCACCTCAGCCTCCCAAAGTGCTGGGATTACAGGCATGAGCAACTGTGCTCAGCCAATATTCTCTTAAATAATGCTTGCAACTGTGACATTTTAGTACAAGTAACCCACCTCAATTGTTTAAGGAAAGGCTAACGCACCTCATGTAATGTGTAATGAGGTTAATATTATGTGTTCACACTTAGACATTTCTAAGCATTAACAAAAGCTTTTATAAGTGAGAGAAATAAAACAGTTATTGAACCACTGCCTGTCAAATAAAAATGTCCCTAACCATTTTCTAGATCTATAATGGGCATGAACATAATCACCCTAATAAACACATGAAAGCCACCATAACTGTTAACAGTTGCCATGTAATTTAATAAAGTTATGTACCACACGCACACACTCACACATTCACAGTGACCCTCCCGCCCCACTGTTCTTCAAGCCTTTGCACCAGTGCATGGGAGGAGAGCATGCCCTGAAGGTTAGACCTCTGATCAAATCCTGCCTCTGATACTGCTCACTGTGGGACCTAGGCAGCTGTCTTAACCTCTCTGAGCCCTGGGATCTGCATTTTAAAAACAAAGATAACAGTATCTGTCTCTTAAAGGTTTGCGGAGACTGCAATGAGAAAACCTAGGGTAGGCGGCTGGCACCAAGCAGGTGCTGCTTGGGTATTTCAGAGCCTCTGGGCTGCGGCAGGGGCCTTGCCGGATTATCTTGGGTAACTTCCCATCCAGTGCAAAAATTTATTCCACAACAACCCTGTCAAATGGCCTCTGCTTGAATCATTCCAGGACAGCAATTTAGCACCTCACAGGCAGGCACTTCCATCTCCTGTGGTCTAACTACCGGGAAGTTAAAATTTTGAGTGGAATCCTCTCCCTTACTTTATCCCTCTGGTGCCCCTGTGCCTCCCAGCCCCCATACCCCAAGAAAGGAGCCAGTGGCTACAGGGCTACAGGAGCCCATACCCAGGAGGTGCCCCCTCCTCCCGCCACTTCCAGGGAGACGACAGCCTCAGGCCCTCCCCAGCGCTCCATTTCTTCCCCGTCGGATGGGAGGAGGCTCCCACCAGCTGTCCCTCCCCCAGGGCTGCTGGAACCGGTATGCGGGGCTGGGGGAAGCGCCTGGGGAACTGTGAAGCCCCCACGTTACACCAAGGGGCCTCAGGCTCGCTCTCCAGTCCCTTCCTTCACCTGCTCTCAGGGGACCCAAGGACGAGGGCCACCGCTCCCGCCACGTCTGAGCCGCAGGGGATGCAGAGGGGCTGCGCTCTCAGGATCTGCACAGGCTAGAGGCCACCTCCCTCGCGCAGCTCCCGGTGGCTGGCGGTGATGGGCTCGGGTCTACTGCCGGCCAGGGCGGGGTCCCACCCACCTGCTGCGGCGCCGCAGCGCTGAGGGTCCAGCTCGGAGGGCGCTCCCGGCTGCTGCGCCGCCCGCGCCTCGCCTCCCGCCGCCGGCCTCCCCCGGGCCGCTCCACGTGGCCGCTCCACGTCGCTCTTCCAGCTGGAGCCGCCGCCCTAGCCGGGCAGAGTCCGGAGCCAGTGCCAGCCGCCGCCCCGCCGGCCCGCCCGCCGGACTTGGTCTTCCGCAGCTCCACCAGCGCCCTCCCCGCGCCCGCGGCGGGAGGGGTTGCGCGCGCGCGTGTGCGTGTGAGTGCGCGTGTGTGCGAGTGCGTGAGTGCGCATGTGGGCGTGTACGAGTCCGTGTGTGCGCGTGAGTGCGCTTGTGTGAGTGCGTGTGCGCGAGTGCGCATGTGCACACGCGTGTGACATTGTGAGCGCGTGAGCGTGTGTGAGCGTGCATGTGTGTGTGGATGTGTGCGTGTGCACACCTGTGGGTGTGAGACAGATGGTGAGGCTGTGTGTGCGTGTGTTCATCACAAATAGGTACACCTATAGAGACAGACAGACTAAGAGACAGTGAGGCCAGTGTGCATGAGAAGTATGTTTAACTGTGATCATGCTTTGGTTGCCAGTTTCTCTGCCTGAGGGACCCAGATGTATGTGACAAAATAGAATCTAACTTACTGTTAGCATGTGTGGTTGTGGCTGGCATGTGTGGCTGTGGGTATGAGGAATTTGTGACACGGTAGGGGGTATTTTGAGTGACTGTGCATAGGTGTGACAGCGTGGGCTTCAGGGTATGGCCAATGTGTGGCAGGGGTGTGGCAGTGCAGAGTATTAGAGGCATATGTATTGTGGTGTCAGGGTGAACTCTTCCTGAGTTGTTTGTGACACTCCATCACAGAATCCATCACCGAGACAAGCCCACTCTCATCCTGTCCTCCTCCCAGTGGTGAACACCGCTAGTCACTGCCTCTTTATATCATGGATTCCGCTGGTTTCAGCAAGACCTCTCCTATTTCTCTGGTCATTTCATAAAGGTCTCCGTTTTCTTCAGCGTCAGAGTTCCTCAGGGCCCTCTCCTCACTCTCCATCTGCTCATGTGCTCATCTGCTCACTTAGCTGCCATCACTATCTGTCCTGCATTGACTCAATGCCCTTCATAATGTTATATGTTAAAGTCCTAACTTTCAATACCTCGGACTGTGACCTTATTTGGAAATAGGGTTACTGCAGATGTGATTCATGAAGATGAGGTCATACTGGAGTAGGGTGGCCCCTAATCAATACGACTGGTGTTCATATGAAAAGAGGAAATGTGGACACACACACGTAGGAAAAACATTGCTGTGGCCTGAATATCTCCCCAAATTCATGTGCTGAAACTTAGTACCCACTGTGGTGGTATTAAGAGGAGGAAGCGGCTGTGGTGGTATCCCCCCAAATTCATGTGCTGAAACTTAGTACCCGCTGTGGAATATCCCCCCAAATTCATGTGCTGAAACTTAGTACCCACTGTAGTGGTATTAGAGGAGGAAGCGGCTCACACCTGTAATCCCAGCACTTTGGGAGGCTGAAGTGAGAGGATCTCTTGAAGCCAGGAGTTTTCGATCAATCCAGGCAACATGGTGAGACTATATACCTACAAAAAATAAATAAATAAAAATTAGTCAGGCATGGTGGTGCATGCCTATAGTCCCAGCTATTTGGGAGACCGAGGCAGGCAGTTCCCTTGAGTCCAGGAATTTGAGGTTACAGTGAGCTGTGATCCCGAAACTGCACTCCCAACCTTGGTGACAGAGAGATATCCTGCCTCTGAAAAAAACAAAAAGAAGTAGGGCCTTTTGGGACATGATTAAGTCATGAGGGCTCTTCCCTCATGAATAGATTAACGGCCTTATAAAAGAGGTTTCTGAGAGCGTTCACCCCTCTTGCTCTCCTGACTTTCTGTTCCTTCTGTCATGCGAGGAAACCCAGATGCATCATCTCTGAGGAACAGACCTTCACAGACACTGAACCTGCCAGTGCCTGGATCTTGGACCTCCCAGTCTCAAGGGAGTAAATTTCTGTTTTTTTTTTTTTTTTTTTTTTTTTTTTTGAGATATTTTATTGTACTTTAGGTTTTGGCTGGAATGTGAAGAACAGGTGAGTGAGTTGTCAAACCTCTGTTTTTTTTTTTTTTTTTAAAGTATCAGATGAAGATTCCACTAATTACTTAATATCTGTGATATATGTAATTCAGAATCTCTGTTAAAATGATTAATTTTGAATATTCTCATTGACTGTTGCCCTCAGAGCCTACTTTACAAGCCATGCAAGATAAAGTTTTGTTTCATTGTCACACTTGACTTTAACCAAAAGAAAAATGTTACTGATTGGCTCAAGTGTTTNTGCCACCATGCCCAGCTAATTTTTTGTAGTTTTAGTAGAGACGGGGTTTCACCATGTTGACCAGGATGGTCTCGATCTATTGACCTCGTGATCCACCCGCCTCGGCCTCCCAAAGTGCTGGGATTACAGGCTTGAGCCACCGCGCCCCGCCAAATTTCTGTTTTTTATAAATTACCCAGCCTGTGGTATTTTATCATAACAGCATAAACACTCTAAGATGTTTGTGAAGATGAAGATGGAGATCAGGGTGATGATTCCACCAGGCAGGGAGAGCCAAAGATTTCCAGCAGAACACCAGAAGCCAGGGGAGAGGCATGGAACAGATCATTCCTCACAGCCCCCAGAACGAACCCACCCTGCTGATATTTCGATCTTGACTTCTAGTCTCCAGACGTGTGAGACAATAAATCTCTGTTGTTTAAGACAGTGGTCCCATAATTCAAGAAGGAGATGTACAAAAGAAGAAAAAAAAGACAGTGGTCCCCAACCTTTTTGGCACCAGGGACCAGTTTCAAAAAAGACAATCTTTTTTTTTTTTTTTTTTTTTGAGATGGAGTCTTACTCTGTCACCCTGGCTGGAGTGCAGTGGTGCCATCTCAGCTCACTGCAACCTCTGGCTCCCAGGTTCAAGTGATTCTGCTGCCTCAGCCTCCTGAGTAGCTGGGATTACAGGTGTGTGCCACCAGGTCCAGCTAATTTTGTGGTTTTTTTGTATTTTTTTTAGTAGGAACAAGGTTCCACCATGCTGACCAGGCTGGTCTCAAACTCCTGACCTCAGGTGATCCACCTGCACTGGCCTCTCAAAGTGCTGGGATTACAGGTGTGAGCCATAGTGCCTGGCCTCAGAGAAAACAGTCTTTCCACAGATCGGAAGGATTGGGGGTTGGGGGGATGATTTGGGGATGAAACTTCCACCTCAGGTCATCAGGCATTCAATTCTAATAAGAAGCACACAACCTAGGTCCTTTTCTTGTGCAGTTCACCATAGGGTTTGTGCTCCTATGAGAATCTAATTCCACCACTGATCTCCAGCAGTAATGCTCATTCACCCTGCTCACCTCTTGCTGTGCCACCTGATTCCTAACAGGTCATGGGCCAGTACCAATTTGCAGGCCAAGGGGTTGGAGACCCCTGGTTTAAGACACCCAGTTTGTACTGCTTTCTTACAGCAAAGCTGCCAACTAACACACCATCTAAATGCCGATGACTACCAAATCTCCAGCTCCAATCTCTAAGCTCCAGACCACTTCAGACATTGAATATCCTACTAATTTGTGCTTGAGTCTTAATTTATAAAGCTGGCTGAGTGAGGACATGAAGAGGTCAGTGCCATTGAAAGAAAAGCTTAATGTTATTCACAGTTCCTCTAGAAACAAGAGGCACGGTCACAGGGGGAAGTACCAGTGTCACTCAGGAGGCAGAAAGGAGGGAGGGGAAGGTACAGGTCTTTATTGGGGTTTGCACAGGCAAGACAGGAGAAGCAGTTTGGGACTGGCTAGTTTGAATAATTTCAGAGCACTCTGGGGCCCAAGGACTGGTCCTAGTTACCTGGTCCTGAGTTGATTTAGGGCAGGGGAGATACTGGCTTGGAGTATGAAAGTTAGAGAAAGGACGTGGCTCAGAGTATGAGCTCTGGATCGCAGGGGAGATGTAAACAACTTTGGCCATTAGGCTGGACCTGTGATTTATGGATGCCAAATAGACAAATACAGAACCTAAGAAAACATAGTTAAAACACCTACCGGCACTCCAACCTCTACATGCCTGTGTCTAAATGCATCATCTTCCTCTTCAAACCTTCCTCTCCTCTGTTTCCCTATCCCAAGGATGGACTCTTTGTATCTGTGCAATCAGAAACCTGGGGGTCATCCACGTTCCTCCTTCTCCCCCTACCTCCAACCTACTACCAGGTCCTATCAATTCTGCCTCCGATCTTGAAGATGTTCGCTCCTCTCCTGGGTATCCTCCATTCCAGGCAGCATCTTTTAAGCCTGGGGTTCTGTTAGCAGTCTCCCAACGGCTATCTGCTCCTACTTTCCTCCTCCTCCCATCTATTCTCTGAGCAACTGAATGATTCTCCTAAAACATAGCTCATGTCACCCTTCCCTTCTTAAAACCCTTGAATGGCTTTCCTCTGGCCTGGGATAAACTGCAGCTGCCCACAAGCTGGTCCTTGGCCACCCACATGCTCTAGCCACACCACATTTCTGTCTGCTCCCTTATGACATCCTTCACCTGCAGGCTTTTGCCTATGCTGTCCCCTCTGCTATAACACCCTCCTGTGAAGTCCAGGCACCCCCGCAGTGCTCCCATGGCACCAGTACTTCCCTTGTGTGGACCCCATTAAGCCCTGATGACTTGTGGACCTCCTAGAAGCTTTACGGTGTATTGATACCTAGGCTCCTCTCCAGACCAACTGTATCTGGGGTAGGGGCTGGGCACTGGTAGTTTTTAAAACCCCAGATGATTCTGATCTGCAGTCAAGGTTGAAAGCCACCACTCTAGTAGACAACCTGTATTCCAATGAAGACAGGGACAGTAACATGGGAAGTCTGTATGGAGTGCCTGGTACACCGCGGGTGGTGAGCAAATTATTTACTGTACGAGGACTGTGTGGCAGGAACTGTATGATATGCAGAGTGACACTGCAGGAAGCTGCATGTGTGTGCAGTGCCACCACTGAGCAGCTGAAAGCCATGTGACAGTGTGTGGTGTCAGGACGGACAGTGCCGTCCTGCAGGTGAGGGTCACTGTGAATGGCTGTAGTGTGTGACAGAGCAGAATGTCACCGCGGAGTGGCTTTGTCCTGTGTGTGAGACTACGAGTGCGTGAGGGACTCTGGCCAGGCTGCTGGACTCGGGGAGCCCCCCGGGAAGAAACTGAGGGCGCTGGAGATGCCCCGCACCAAGATGGCAGCTAGGGGAGT